ACTTCGAATCGTCACAGTGAGTATGGCTGCGCCAAAAGTGCTTCGATGTCTGGTAGCAACAAAGTAGCAACTGTTAGCTCCAGTAAGAGAGGCTCTGCTCAAAAACGGAAAGTGATGTCTGTCATGGCAGCCAAAGATCAGCCACCGAGAGCATGGCCCACGTCAAAACCATGGTCCCGCCTACATGTGGATTTTGCTGGGCCGATAGAAGGCATATACTACTTGGTTCTCGTGGACTCTTACTCAAAATGGCCGGAGGTAGTACAAGTGACACCACCTTCTAGCAGCAGAACAGTATCAGTCCTGGAAAAGATCTTCGCATGTCACGGTATACCAGAAATTATCGTATCTGACAATGGCAGTCAGTTCACCTCACAAGTGTTCCAGGAATTTTGCAAGAGAAACTGTATACAACACGTGCGGACGCCACCTTATCACCCTCAATCCAACGGTCAGGCAGAAAGATTTGTCGACACTTTCAAACGAGCCTTATTGAAAGCAGGGGGAGGGGCGAAACCGGAAGCAATACAAAACTTTCTTTTTGTATACCGAACTACACCACTGGCAGAACAGAAGAAAAGCCCTGCAGAACTTCTAATGGGTCGAATGCTACGAACTCATCACCACTCCATGTTACCATCTTCGTCACATCAACGAAGAAATAGTCTGACGTATTACCGCAAGGGTGATGCCGTCTATGTGCGCGATTATCGACCGAGGAACAGAAAATGGGCCGAAGGCTTGATAGAATGTCGACATGGAACTCTAATGTACAAGGTTAAAGTTGGGGATGAATGGTGGATAAGACATAAAAATCAGATACGACGTCGATATACTACATCCCAAGAACCTAAATTGCCACTGGATTTACTACTGGAAACTTTCAAAATACCACCAGTCAAACCAGAAGCAAAACAAGAGATGCTACCCAGCCGACGATCCCAGCGCAAACGAACACAAACAGTTCATTTCCAAATCGACCCCAAGGAAAAAAGATACTAAACTGTTTGCGAGATTCTTTTTAAAAGGGGGAGGTAATATATACGCAGGTGAATCATTAATATTCAGTATTTATTTCCCACACTAGCATAATCATTGATTCACGCATCTGCGTGATTATTGATTTAAATTACTGAATTCCCAGGGTTTGTTAATATTTTTAAAATGTGACATTGATTTTTCTAACTGTATAAATACGGAGTTTTGTTTAACATTTTCGACTGTTGTTAGAGACAATAAAAGCTCTCATATCAACGTCCAGTTTTCTCTTTTCTTTGTTTTGCGTGCCCGGCGGTATTGTTGTTGTTGTTGACGTGCGATTAGGACAGATTAGCCAGCGCATTAGTTAGATTCGCTCGTAGACTACAAGGTCCTCATATTCACATACATAACACATCCACATCCTGGCAATAAAATTGGGATTTTCTGATAAGGTTGTTCAAAGGTTCATTTTCTAGTTTACTTAGAAAGAAATCTACCCAAATGGGACCCAATGGGAGCCCATCGCCACGCTGTCCACTTATCTGTAAAGTGTGCCATCGAATTTGAAATCTGCATTCATGGTACACCTTAATAACAATTCTTTTAGGATTTCCGTTTGGATGCCGACATTTATCGACTGGTTATACACTCGTTCACAAATGTAGTTAACTGTTTCTACTAGACGTACATTTCTGAATAAAGATGTTATGTGCGAAAATATCGTAGTTTTATCCTTGATATTAATATCTTTGATTTTGTCTGCGAATTCAAATACATCTTTGACGCTATTTTGCACTATCTGCTTATGCGAAGGCTTGAGGATATTTACTAACCATCTAGCTAAAGCATGGTAGGGCGAATTTCGAGTATCAAGTATTGGTATAACAGAAGCGATTGCCACTCTCAGTGGGCTCTGAAGCTCCTGAACTGCAAGGGTCTTCCACCACAGGAGAAGACTGATTACTGCTCAGACACCGATGACGTGACTAGCGTCATCGACAAAACAGTACATGTCCCTGATGCGTTTCTGTCAGAGAGTGAGTGTCCTTCAGCACAGAAGAGCACCCACCATATTCCAGACACCCATGCTTCCCATACGATACCGGATAGGCCCTTCACTGACAATAATGGAAAGACTGGCAAGAAAGAGGAAGAGTACCAGGGGTCAAAAACCCGCAGCTCAAGTCGTCCAAGGGCTTTTAAATCAAGCGTCGTTCACGCCTATGAAGAACAGACAGCTAAAATCGACTGCGATTACCGAGGAGGACGCCAATGAATGGCGTAATGTAGTCCCTCACAAAAAGTGAGATAAGGGCAATACGTTGGTCACAGTGTCTATGAAGGGCGGAAATACATTTACGTCGCAGAGCAAGAAAGCAAACCTGATCTCTTTGACAGGTCGCTCATTCTCCAAAAAGCGGCCTCTGGTCCCAGGGTCAGGTTCGAGCATGACCTTAACTTGGTCAAGCCCCTTTTAGATAAGCTACTGCCGAAAACAATATAAGGCCTGACTCTACAGTAAATCAGCCTGTACGCTTCCTGAAGGCCGTACTTAAATCCAGAGGAGAGAGGGATGCCTTTCTAAGCAACTCTCAAACTCTTAGAGGATCAAACATTTACGTCTGTGCCGAATTATCCTTAGCACACCGTGTCAAAAGACAGTCTGCAGCCCTAGAACGACGCAGAAACGAAGAAAAAACCTTAAGATTAAGGGTTTCCGGGTTGTCCAAGTTCGCAGTTTGATTATCCCGAAACCTCTGTGAGTAGGCCGTGGAAGCATCAAACTGAATTGACAGTTTGCTACACAATCGCTGCGACCTATTGAACAAACGGACTGAGCTGGATAATGTGATATACTGCGGAAATCCGGATGTAATTATCATCACAGAGGCATGGCTCACACCCGATATCACTGATAACTAAGTTAACTTGCCAAACTTCGAAGTGCATAGGGTGGACTGACTGAGCGCAAAGGAGATGGCGTATTCATCTACTTCAAGAACTGCCTAACCGTGCGTAGCATCGAAGTACTTGCTCACGAAGGTGAATCGTGTGAACTTCTGCGCTGCAGACTTAAATGTACAAGCCAAGCGATTGACCTCACTGCTGTATAACACAGTCCTGACTGCAGTGCAGATGACTTCCTAACAGAGAAGCTGGGCTCCTGGACTTCGAAATGTCGAAGTCTCGCAGTCGGCAACTTCAACGCCCCCAACAGTTGACTGAACAAGCATTAGGACACCATCTTCACACAACTTTTTTGATCATAAACTGCTGAAATCTGGCATTTCACTAGCCCTCGTCCAACATGTCATTAGGTTCACGTGCTATGACTCACGGAACTCCTCCTCAACTCTGGACCTAGTGTTCTCCCATGGTAAGGACGTGGATCTCATGCAACATCTTCCTCCTTTAGGAGGAAGTGATCACTCTGTGCTCACTTTCAGGTTCACAGCAGCAGCATCATGTACCAGGACCCCAGCTCGATCGGACGTTCGAAAAGCTGATATAAATGCGATCGTTTCAGGAGCCATCTCAGTGAACTGGTACATCAACCCAGAGTCCTAAGGAGAAGCCGCGTGGAACCAACTTAAACTTCATCCCTTGGTCTGTCTTAAAGGGTCGAAAACCTTGACCCACTCAGATAAACCGAGAGATTCGTAAGGTACTCAGACGCAAACACAAATGTTGGAACCCGTTGGCCGCACTTGATACTCCTGAGACCAAGAAATTATACAACGCTTTTAGGAACAAAGCTACTGCAGAAATCCGCCAACCAAGTACGAAGTTCGAAGCACATCTGGCTCAAAATGCAAAGGCATAACCTAACAACTCAGAGTCATTTGCATTTAGGTGTCATAGTTGGTCACGTTTTAAAAATTACAGCACACTGTCGCGCGGAGGCCTTACGTAGTTTCAGATCCTTATGGGCAATTCTCAGAGCCATTATTAGAATAACCAAAGACATGTTTACCTCCTTATATACATCTCTGCTCAGGTCAAGACTGGAAAGCTGTATCCAGCCCGCCAGCCCTTGTCTTAAAGCGGACTCAAATATTCTAGAAAGGTCCCGGAGGAAGGCAACACGTATGATTCTCGGCATGACTAATTTATCATATGAGGAAGGACTAGATAGTTTAAATCTCTTCTCCCTGTCATACCGTAGGCAGATAGGTGATTTAATCACAGTGTTTAAAATTTTAAATAATGACCTTTGACCTGATCTATTCTCTCCCACCAGGTCGGAACAGCTGAGAGAACATGGCAGGAGAGTCCAGAAGCCAAGAAGAAATCATATTGCTGTTGAGTATGGGTTTCATATGAAGTTATAAACTGTTGGAACCGACTCCCAGAAGAAGTGGTGTCTGCAACCTCAACTGATTCGTTCAAGAAGGGTTTGGAAAAGCACAGAAATTTACTAGCCTTCTGTCCTCAACCAATAAATCTGAAACTTTTATGTGGCAACAGTAAAAAATGGACACCAAAGTCAAGTGACCTTGAGTCAGTCAATAAGATGGCTCGGCATTACACATGGATGTTGTTCATTGTCTTCATTGCAAGTTTCACCCAGATATTTTAATACCAATAATACAACGATTAGTCCTCCTAGTCACTTCCATTCATACTCATTAGACTATAATCACCATAGGGTTAATCATACTTCTGAATTTGTAGGACCTATGAGTGGAACAAATTTCATTGAAGGATTCTGGGTCCGTCTACAAAAAGCGTATTATAACAGCGAATTCCTCTCCTATGGTTCCCGATATGGTATGATGTGTACAGCCACTTAAATTCTTTGCACAGACATTAGTTTAATATATCTACAGAAACTCCTATGAGAAACTGTGACCAATTTTTACAGAATATTATAGATGTATACCCTGTGTAATTGAGTTTTATTAGATATGCATGTAACAAATACACTTTTCTTAAACAAATGCCACTTGCCACCTAGTAGAATGCAATTGGTAGATTCAAGGCCATTTGACTTTGATGTCACTACTACTACCCCTTATGTCAAGGTTAACTGCAGAATCCACGATTTCAAATTTACTGTCATGGTAAGTTAAGTGTTTTTAAGTTTATTATAATGGATACTGGAAGTGAAGTAGTACTAAGTGTGAGTGATTCAAATCACCCTAGATGCCTTAGAAGTACTTTATTCCTTTTAATATACCCTTGTGCTTAAGTTTGGTTCGAAAAAGAGACATCACCGATCCACAGTGTATAAGAGAAATAAAAGATTAAAGTTGCAGTTGCTTGGGGACCTTGTCAAGAGAATAATTCCCGATTTCAGCGTCGGGGCTGGTGAATGTTTTGTAGATGAAACTCCCTGTAGCGTAGAAAACGTGCATACTGACATGCAAATCACCTTACCAAGTGGGTTTATTAGCTTTGATTTATAAAGTCTTCTCATGAGAAATCCTCCAATAACACAACTGATTAAAGCAATTCGAGAGTGAAACTCAGAGCGACCGCTTTTAAGGTAATGATGATCACTAACAGCTCATTGGTTGATGGTGAGAGGATAATGCGACTGTTTAAACGACATCTTCCAAATTTGCCGACTAATATAAGACACCTGAAAACTAGCCAGTCATGCCCCTCAGCTGTTATTGGTAGTAAAGTTTACTATCATATTGGTTTGCTAACTATGCCTACGTTTATACTGAGTTGGTGTCAGTTTTCATCTTTTGATTGCATGAGCCTGCAGCTGAATGTTGATGGATTGTCACTTTAACAATAGTACACAGCAAGTTTTGCGGATATTGGGCAGACCGATGAAACTGTTTCTCAGTGCTATATTCCTTATTGGAGTTTATGGCGGTTTTCGTAAACCGTCAGACTTCAATAAGACAAAAGATCTGTCGATGCACATAGCTTCTAGGTTACTAGGTGAAGTACTCGAGTCATTCTGACTAATGCGAAATTATTTTTGCTTTATTAAAGCCTTCCAGAGAAATGAAGCTAGTGTGCAATATCAGGGAGCAAGAACAAAATTGTTTGGCTTGTACATACTCACTGCAAGCATATCAGATAATAGTCAATGCCAGTGAAAATAGTAAATTGTCATGCTGCTTACCAAAACAGCAGCTTATGCAACTTTGTTTATAAATTCTAATACTAATACAAAAAGGTTGTATTGCGTTAATGTATGGGTCCCATCTGACACTTCGTGAATGCCTTCTCCTTATATATATATATAATAGCGTGTGAAGTGGAGTAAAAAGGACTATGATCACTATTTATCTTCGGTTTTTCATAATACTACTGTCTAGTGTCACTTTGTAACACTGATTTCGTAAAAGACAATCATATATTCTTGTATATTTGAATGAGCAAGAGACTAAAGATAGTCAAACTTTTGACTGTGACATCTATTGAATCTGTGGTCAAATAGTATCTATATATAAAAGTGAACTAAATAGACACGAGGAAAGGCTCTGTTCACATTATGTGTCTGTACTCGTTGTAACAGAACAAAACTTGATACATATGAATGTGAACTATCCCTAAGATAACAAGTAGTTATTTAAGCATAATGAGCTGGTAAGTACTCGATAGTGGCTGCATAAACACATGTCGATTACGACCATCTTTTATTTCGTTTATTTGAGTTTCCGTAACTGATTATTTCCTTCTAACATTTTGTAGCACTATGGATTTAAACGTTACTGGAAGTTAAGTCTTGTCTAGCAACCTTCGGTTACTCTAGTTAATCAAAACTTTTGTTATGACAGCAGTCGCTTACATAAGTGCTATTTATGCTCTTCACTCATGCAGCCTGAAGTAGGTCCTGGGTCTGAATCCGAAACCTACTTGTTGCAAGTTGAGATCTTAAGCCGATGGACTACATCTCCGTTGTGTAATGCAGAAACTAAGAACACTCACTATAATGCCAACTGCTTATGTTGACAAAGAGCTCTCTTGTGTAGCCATCGGGTTTGTTTTCGTTATAAGACAACTGCCAAGTATCATGTCATTCATGCCAAGTTACTGAATACGTATTTAGGCATGTGATACATGCTTTGTCTCATTTACTTTTGCCAATATTTAAAATATAAATCACGGTATGAGTAGTAACTAAACATTTTCCATCCTACTTTAAGCTTGCGGCGTAAATCTTATTCTTGACACAGCTATACTTTATCGTGACGTCCCCATTACATCGCTTTTTCAATGGCGTGTTTTTATATTTTGTTTATTGCTTGTACTGCTACATTTAATTCCTTTCCTACGTATTTGTCCACCTGCGCATGCTTTATTCGTTTTTTTAAATTTTCACGTTAGCCGAGTAGATCACTGCCCTTAATACAATCCTGTCCAGATAAACAGGTGCGAACCAGAGAAATCAGCTACCTGTCTTTGAGAAGAATGGTTACTTTATTGGAAAATGTAATGTGCATTTTGTCAGCGTAATACGTATAGATTATAATAGTCGCTGAGCGTGATGATACGAAAGATAACTTGGTGTCTATGGTCAGACAAGCCAGTGTTTCCAATCTTGTTTTGCAACTAGATCCTGCTAAACTCATGGAAGAAGAATTCCTTGCTGCATTTTGTCATCGAGGTAATTTTAGTTACTTTTCATTGGACTTTATGCTCAGGTATATTATCTTAAACTAACTCTTGAAGGACGCGGAAAGCCAGCTGGTAATATTTTGTAATGATTATTGAATGATGTAGTAAAATAGAGAAAGACTCAGTCTGTTTTTTACATTAGGATATTTATTGTAAACCAAATTCTCTTGCACAAAATCCTCCCATTTAATTCAGCATACTTATGCTGTATCTATAAGTATTATATGTGCCGTGTATCGTTAGATAGCGCAAAGCACCCTTTTATATCTTGAGAAATCACGTGCCCACACATGCTCTTGGAGTAGTCAAAACATCAGTGTATTTACTTGTGTAAGTACTGGTGGTGTGATGGGTGGCGTTGCATTTGATGCCATGTAGGTATTAATTATGTTGGTAAAGTTCGAGATTATTGGGTCTCTATACCTACATTTCTGGTGTGTATCCGTAAGATTTGACCCCTCGAAACTGAAGACATTTGACAACTCTGTACATTCGACTCCTCTTTATTTCAAAACATAGCCATAACAACACTATGTAAGTAACTTTGATGCATGACCATGACGCCATATCACGAATTGACAAAGTTGAAATTCACGGATAATTCAACTGTGGCTGTGAGGGGTCAGCAAGTTAGGGTGGTAACGCGGAGGCCTTGGATCCAACTTTTAGTAGGGTTATATGGGTGCATGCTACGCAAAAGTGACTGGCGGCATACAACATGTTGTTAGGCTGTCTAAATGCATTAGAATAAATGTGTCCAAACACTGGTTCATTCATAACCCTGTCTTTTGGATGGCTTAGTAGCATATCTTAAACCGTCAAACCTCAAGAGTCCTGAACTAAGACAAAAAATTTATCCTGTGGGTGTCAAACAAGTGAACACAACATGAAATGTAAGTCCTTATTAGACAAGCTTGTATACTGCTGGTGTTGACGGTACTGACGGCATTGAAATAGGTGATATTAAAGCAGAAAGTGATCATAGCTAAGAAACCATTAAGTAGCCCAGTATAGTTCAAACAAATTATAATTTTTTCCCAGGAAGCTCTGAAATAAAAGTCAACCCGCAGGACAATATATTCATAAAAACAGGTTTCTATTCCTTTGATTTCTTCAAGATATTGAAACCCGCATTCATCAAGGTCCTCAACAGTTCAAGTGAATTCTCCTTCACTACTCTGACTCTGTATATTACTGGAAACTTACCCTATTCATACAAATGCAACTAATAGGATGTTTCTTTTAGAAGCTGTATTATGCGTGGATGCACAAAACACTTAAAGTGAAGTAGACTTTGTGGGCCACTTACCATAAAAAGATATTAAAGTTGAAGAGGAATAATTATTAACGTTACAAGCCTGGCAACGAACCAATGGAGAACCTGATGTCCAACAAATTTGCGGAAGAAAATGGAGATAAATCGGACAAACACTTAGAAGACCTTTGAGTGATATCGTGCGCCAAGCCCTCAAGTAGAGCTTAAATTGGAAACAATGAGTTGTGCGTCCGAAGGCGACATGCGAGAGATGCTGTGAGAAAGAGATAAGAGTTTATGAGTGTTCTTCTGAATCCTTACCTTCCACTCGGAACCCAAAGGAATTATAATAATATAATTAGCTGTATTCTTCATTTACAGACACACCATTGTGATGAATTTATCCACTGCATTTTCTTTTTTTTTAATGTATAATTACAAAAGTTTTCTATTTCAGTACAGAATTAATTTTTCTCTTAACTTATATTTTCTCACGCAATATTTTAGGTAGCGTTACAGTCCTACCGTTGAAACCACTGCCAGACTTTAATCTATCTATCGAAAAGTGTAAGTCATTACAATACTTCTTTCCAGTATTAGCTTTTTGCTTTTACTCTGACTTCAAATGGTACAGCTACTTGTCTCGTCTTTTTATATATGTAGAGCCATCTGACTAGTCGATTTAGTCACTGTACCCAGTGAGACATAGGTTCAAGATGTGAGCAACCAGATGATAGCATTATTAACTTCACAGAATAAATGTGGACCGTTACTGGGCGTATGAAAAGACTTCATTACAAACCTGTCTGTTGAACTGAAATCGTTTTTGTGCCTACCGACAGCACTTTTGTTTACACATTATTGTGTATTACATCTACATAGTTCATTCCCCCTCCTCCTCCTCCTACTACTTACTGTGCTTATCATTAGTAATCTGTAGTCCTAGAATTGTTCTAGGTTTATTGAAGCTCTTGATTTCATTAAATGCTTTACTGTCTGGTTTATTGTTATAAGCACACAAAAAATGAATGAAAGATGTTTCAAGTTGGCAAATGCTAAACAAGCTTTTCATGTAAGTGTTGAGTTTTCCTCAGACATCAGTCCGTTAGGGTCGATGAAACTAACCAAATAGGTGAAATGACCAACATATCCAAACATTTCACTCCATGTGGCAGTAACTCAATTCGGTTTTCACTTCTTTCTGTAAAGTAAGTCTTGGAACATCATCTCACTTCTGAAAGAGGCGAATCTTATGATTGTTTTGTGGGATACTACCTGTATTTAAATTTTACTTGGCTTTTTCTCAGAGATTCATATCTCAGTTTGAAGGAGACTAGTTATGTTTCCTGGTTAGATTATCTTTAAAGCTACTTGTCCTCTAGAAATACCTGGCTTCAACTTAGACGGTCTATAAACGACAAATATGGTAATACTTTTTGTTCATGCTGAATATAAGCAAATTATATCATGGACCTTTGTAGGCATTGGGATTGACTTCAATGTAGATTTCCTCACGAATCGACATCAGTTAGAGGTCTTTGAAATCGAGGGACCACTAGACAGCTATTTCGTCCTAGTTTGGGACTCTTTTCAGTGATCACCCTCGATCCCATTAAGACTTCAACCAAGGAGCCTCTCAGGTTACGAGACAAAGCTCTCTGACCATTCGCTCACTTGGCCTGGAATTCAATAACCCGTGAATTCTAATTTCTGTTCATTCGAGACATAGCTCACAGCGATTCCGAGGCAGTTCTTGCAAGGATTTAAGTCATCCTTCTTTGGTAGTTCGACAAGGTAGCCCTTCCTCCAATCAGTAGATACCTTTCTTTCCTTCCAAACCTTCGGCAATAGCGGCGTGACAGCATCTACAAATGTCTTTGGATCTGTTCTTAGTAGTGCTTCTGGGAGAGAATTCTGTTTGGTACTGTTGCATTCTTAGGTGACTTTCATTAACTATGTGGCCTTCAAGGCTTCTTTTGTCGTATAATTGAAGTGGTTGTTAGTGGCATTTGTGGATGGTGGTCGACTGGAGAGTCTTTTTGCTTCCAGTGATCTCTAACTGATGTCAGTTTCTGATGAAATCTATTCTGAAGTAAAATTAAATCGTTGTCTTTAAATGTTTGTTTTTTACTTCGGTAACCTAAATTTGGTCTCGTCAGCGATTCTCACTTTGGACATGTCTCCAATTGTATACTCTGGTTTTGGTTTGTCAGCTAAGAAAGTTAAACGAAACAGTAAACAGTACTATTACCGTAAGTTCGCAGTTGTATTTGTTTTCAAAATAATTGTAAACTTCGAAAGTCATATTACTATGTAGCTGTGCCTATGATTTACACAACTAGCATATTTTTTTATTTAGTGAATGCGTTTCAGCGATAGAATTTCCTTTGAACGAGTCATTAGTATTTTGAAACATTTGTATAGCTGCTAACTGACCGTATTCAATGCAGTCAAAATCATTAGAAATAAAAATACCAGAGAAAAAGCAAAACATTACTCAAATTAAAGCAGAGTTATGCCATGTGAAATTTCCAACGACTTCCTCTCCTTAAACAGAATCCGACTGGAAAGAGTCCTGATGGACGCTACTGGTTGTCGTTACTCTAGGTGGTAACTACCTTTCATGAGTTCAAGTAGAGTGTCTTGATTAGTATTCTATATTTTATTGACACTGTCTTCATAGTTTCATATTACCACAGCACCATGGTCGACAAAGTTGATAACTATTACCACGTCAAGCGTCGGACACCGATATCTGTGGCCTAAAATCTGTCGAAGTGATTAGTGCATCCCTATCCGAGCCGGGGACTTATCCGATTTTCACAGTTTTGTTTATCTCGAACCCCACTTTGTCTTCCTATGATTATGGAACCCTGGGTCTGGAGCACTACACTGGTCAAGTTCATTCTCCCATGGTTATCACATGAAGATTTTACTGCTTTACATAAACTGGAGTAATTAATGATCTCTGCCTCAGTCTTGATTACCACAATTAGTATCGTTTCAGAACTATGCGAACCATTCACCTAACCAGCGACTAATCAGCTCTCTCTCGATTACAAATAATACAACAGAGCGTACTTTACATCTAATCTGTTGTGCAATCATCAGTGGGAAGGCACTAAACAAAAAGTCAGTCCATATTGTCTAGTATGGACAGCATAATTTCTTCATGACAGCGTAGTGATAAAATACTCAGAGGTATCAATTTTCTCAGAGAATCATCCTCATTACACTAAGGCAAAGTTAATATCTCCGCTCCACAAGTGAAGGTGAAATTATCCTTTGGCATTTTTGCTGACAAAAGCTCAGCACTGATACATAAGGCTCATTTTGTATTTGCCAAACAACCTGCACCATCTCTCTGACTTAGTAGACGTGATATCCGGCTGGTTGTCACCCAAAAGACGTGTATACTGTTCAGCGGTTTGCTCCATCCTCCTTTATGGCGGACTGTGACTAAAACATCGCCATTGAAAGTGGAACACATGAAAACACCGGCCAATTAGCTAGCTGTCTTCTATCATAGGTGTCTGCGTTCCATCTACATCTCGTGTTAGATAGCATAATAAGGTGAGCAATAGTGAGTTGGTGAGGCATCCGTGGAGTGCTAGATAAGGAGGGGAAATAAATCTATTGACGAGGTTGTGAAGCAGTTACATCGATAGAGTGAGTTGTCTAGGACATGTGTTACACATGTCTAGACATCGATTGCCTTCCTCGACTGACAGGCAATGTCAGCCGCTGACATAGGATGAATGGATGGATCAGGTTGGAAAGGAGGTAGCTATCACATGGTGGTCAAACGGAAACATGGCTTCATCAGTCAATCAAATCCATAACAACAGTTATTTTAAGCCAGCCAGCCGCCTCGTTGGGAGGCGTAGACTGGCTGGTTGGTGTCCCCGGGGTGGTAAGAACCAATGACTTCTGCAGACAATTGGAGGTCGGCTCAAAATCCTCGTTGTCAATGATGGCGAAGATGCATCCACTCTTTGTGGAGTGTTATATCCAAAAGAACTGATCTGCTTCCATATTACTATTCTTTTTGCTCACACTTGTGTTTATTACCGCTCTCTCTCTTTTGAATCTCTTGCTTTGTGTACTACATGGAGGGAGGGAGAGTGGCAACTCGAACTGGTGCACATCTGTGCAAAGTTCTTTGTTGAAACCAGTCAGTCATTTCGATATTTGTGTACTTTTTGATTTGTAGAACAGCGGTTTACTGTTTTAGCGTTTCTGCTTTCAACTAACTAATAGAGTAGAGGTATGACTCATCGGCTTAGTCACTCGGGTTTTTTTTCCAGTCATTAAGTCGCTCGTTCGAATCCCGCGCTACCCCAACGTGGGCAACTAGGTAGGTAGTATTTTCAGCGAGTTTGGAAAATCTAGTACTATAACGTATCCCTATACACTCAAAACGCATGCTAGTGTACGGCATCGTCAAGTACTGTATTATGGGGACGTCAGATGGTCCTACTAGGTTTGTGCATCACTACTGGCACTAGAGCTTAAAATGTAGTAGATTTCAACTCTATAAAAAAAACTATTTAAGTCAGCAACAGTAAAAAATAGACACCAAAGTCAAATAACCTTGAACCAACCAATCAGATCGCTCAGAATTACAAATGGATGCTGTTTACAATCTTCGTTGCAAAATTCACACAGACAGCGAGTGGAGAGGCTACTGACAACCGTCATCATTAGGCTATATTCATCATAAAGCCAATCATTCGTCTGAATTAGTGGATCTTATCATTGGAACTCATACAAATTCTATTGAAGGATTGTGAGCCCATCTAAAAACAAACTTAATAGAATGGTAAATGGTTCCCGGAGTGATGTGATATGATATACAGTCACTTAGATAAATTTTGAATCTACATTGATTTGATATACCTATAAACACTCCTATGAGAGAAACTTGGACCGAGGTTTACAGCATATAAGACATATATGCCCTGTATAATTCATATATATACATATATATATACAACAGATACCACTTTTCACCTGGATGAATCTGATTGGTCGGTTCAAGGTCATCATATGACTTTGGTATCTACTCTTTACCGTTACCCTTTAGTCTATCAGATAACGGTCATCAAGCTGCCACTACAAAGAACTTTCTGTAAATAGCTGATGTCTAAAGGAAAACAGGAAATGTAACCACTAGTGCTATGCTGTGATGGCTGTATTTCTTATGCCGCTCATTCCAAGATATTTTATCACAATAAAGATATTTAGCCTTGTCTGCCTTTCTGTGAAGTCAACATGCGTGTGTGTGTGTGATATGTATATATTTACAGCGAGCTGTATTTCTTTTTAAAAAAATACAATTTTCATCACACTCACTGTGTTATCTGATACCCTTCTTTCTTAGGATTCCAGGTTGCTTTGAATAGTACAAACTTCCAACCTAACGGACCGTTACATTCTCGTCTTCGATCATTCTTTAAAGCATTCACTAGTCCTGTGGAATCGGGTACTCGTATACCCCAACGCATCACAGATCTTGGACCTTTCTTTGTTGATTGGTTACCAGATACCCATCGTGTTTGGACAGGTGAATTGCCGAAATCTGGTTCTGTTGCTGCTTATCTGAACAAATGCGAGCATGTTGCGGTATGTTTTTTTTTAAAAAATAATGTTGACCGCGCTTCCATTTTGATACACAATGTCTACTTTACGACTTCCGTACTTTGTATAATTTGTAATTACTTTTTCAACTGTGATAAATCAATCTTGGACGAAAGTGTAGCAGCAGACTGTTCTTTTTTACTCTTCCAAAGTTTTTTTAACATTGAATAAGTGTGCAAGTAAGGGGGTGTGCTTTGCACCGTCTAAGTACAAAGCACTGCTACAATATTGACAGAAGCTAATACCTTCACTCATCCTTGGTGCAGGTGAACCGCTTGAAATTGTCGATAAGTTTGTGTATCACCTGGGTAGTTGTGTGAGTGCATTGGTCGAGGTGTAACGGATGACATTTCTAACCGTGTCATGAAAGCTAAGATAGCGCCACTTCTAGTGCTATCCCGACTTTAAACTTTCTGTCGAAGGTCGAGTTTACAATGCTTCGGTGCACGCAGTCTTGCTCTACCCCTGTAAGACCTGGCCTCCCCGAGCTGGCGACTGTGCGTATTCGATCATTTCTGTCTGTGTAGTATTGCTTGCGTTCAACGACACCATCGCATGGATAATTCTGAGGTCCAGTAGGGTGTTTCGATACAGTAGCGATCAACATTCATTGAGTGTTTTCATGCGAAAACGCTGGCTTCAGTGGCTTTGGACATGTGCTACGAATGTTATCCCAGAGGTTTCCGTATCGATCTTCGTTTACTAGCCCTGGGACAGGAGGGAAAAAGTGGATAGGTGATCAGCCTGTAAATTGGCGCCTTGGAATGAAGGATATTTGTGTTAGGTTGCCAACAGTTAGTACATCACTACTCCCACCTTGGGGTCTGAAAGATAGTTCAAACGAGACTAAATGAAAGCAGACAACAATGCAAACGAGCAACCGAAATCTAGACTCTTCAAATGCTTGCAAGTGACCGGCAACAGGACAAAGTTGCCTGGAGTTCCATTGAATAGTTATAACAAGTGGGATCCACCAGGTAAGGATTAAGGACGAATACTCGCCGATGACATTGTCTGACGGTCGAGCTAAAATCACGAATTGACAAGACATGAAAAGGTTGACTGTTTTTGATCATAGATGTCTACGATCTCTTTCTCACGTTAGGTGGCATAATAAGGTAAGTAATGTTGACGTTAGGTGTAGAGTGATGGGCAAGGAGGGAAAATCAATCGACGAGGCTATAAAGTTACATAGATTGAGGTGGCTAGGCCACGTGCTGCGCACGCCTAACCATCGCCTCCCCCGACGGGCATTACCAGCTGATATAGGTGCAGGTTGGAAAAGAGTAAGAGGTGGCCAAACAAAAACATGGCATCAATCCATGAAATGCTTGACAGTTAAACTGAGTCAGGTAGGGAGATGCAGACTTCCGGGTTGGGGCCCTCGGGACTCTAAGAATCAATGGTTGGAGACAATAGGTGACATGACTCAAAATCGTTGTCAATGGCTTACGCAGATGTATTCAGTCTCTGTAATCTTTCATATTCCTTTCTACCATTACTCATTCTGTTTCACTCTTATACTTGTCAAAACTCTATTGGTTCTCTTCACTCATTTTCTTGTCTACCTTTGTGTGCTATTTGGAACGTGGCAACTCGAACTGCTGCACTTCGGTGCCAAGTTCTATGTTGAATCCAGATAGACAGACGAATTGACAGAAGTTAGAATTCATCGGCTGGCTATTGGATTGTATTCACATAATAAAAGCTCTGCTATTTGACTTCACTGTTATTTGGGTTGATTTTTCACCTTGGTGTGTTTGAGTCATCTATATCTTATCTGATTATAAGTGAAATTAGTTTGCTTATTATTTTGGTTGCAATTCATTTTTAGAATTGCCTAGTTGATAAACTTCGTTAGTTTTCATGTCAGATTTCTGGGCTTTCCTTCGCGTCTACTTCGTGGGGCATTGTTAGTCAAAATGGAATTAGGTTGGAAAAGAGTTAGTAGGTGGTGTTCAAGTCATACCATAAAGTATTTGACTGCTGATCTGAAGCACGTAGAGAGGTATATACTCTGCGGCTGGAGACTGTTGGCGACTTGTTTCAAAGTCGTTTTCAGTGGTGCGAGTGTATTCAGTTTTTATTGACTCCCAGATCCATGAAATTATGATAATTCTCTATGTACTTATTCTTCCTCCAGTTCGTTGTATTTCCTCTGAATTTTTCCCATCCACTTTTGTGAACTTTTAAAGGTGTGACCACTTAAACCGCTGCACTTTTGTGAAAGTTTCTGAGCTTTTTCACACTCTAATTGGTTAACTTATTGCTGCCGGCAATTTAACATTGAATCTTTTTGTTTATTCTTTGCGTTCCGAATGTAACATAGGGTTTCAGAAGCACATCTTCGTTCCACTTGGCTAACGTCATGACTTTGACTGGACACTAGTAACGAGTGTAATGTGTCTAGTCCTTACTTCGGTGCAGACTGAATTCTATCAGTCAGTTTTGTAATGTGGCCACCATTCTAGGTAGCTCACCATCACGATGCACATTGATTTGATAATATTAGATGGTTGGAGGCAATCGGAAGGAAGCCCAGCTCAACCTAGGTTTCGTGCTAGTTGGCACTCACCCGTCAGCAAGACGTATCTGCAACCTTGAAGGAAGTCATGTCCCTTCTGAGATTTGAACACTAGTAACTAGTGCTATGTGTCTAGTCTTTACTTCCGTGCAGACTGAATTCTATTACTGAGGTTAGACTGCAGCACTGGGTGACGCGGGTTCAAATCTCAGAAGGGACATGACTTCCTTCAAGGTTGCAGATACGCCTTGCTGACTGGTGAGTGCCAACTAGCACGAAACCTAGGTTGAGCTGGGCTTCCTTCCGACTGCCTCCAACCATCTTACGTCATGACTGCCCACAAGCTTTCATTTCCCCTACACATTATTTCCCTCTTAACATTCTCGGAAGCCCAACTTAATGATAATTTGCTTTATTCCTTCTGGAATTCTCAGCATTTGTTGCAACATTGCATGTAATTTACTCGACAACAGCAAGGACAAAAATAAAAAATAATGGTACAGGTTGATAATAGGCAGCTTTTTTGGTATTTGCAGTTACAGTAAAATCAGGAATGTACAAAAGTGTAAAATAATGATAATAATGGTAATAGCTAAGCTAAAAACTAATTGAAATAGTATCACCATAAGTTATAAATAGAAGGGGATAAAAGAGCTAATTATTTTACTAATAACACAGTAGGTCGTAGGTTTTGCGCTTAACATTATCGTTATCACATAGGACGTGGGCGGGCGGGCTAAATAGGGTTTCGTTGAGTTGCTGTACTTGGTTGTACTGGCAAGCATATAATATTCCACAATGACTTCTAGTCCTAGCTGAAGAGATACAAGTTGGGTAGATTTGAGAATAGAGGAGGTGTTGAGGGTCAGACAATATGCATTTAGACCATTTCTCACATGGGTTTAGGTGCCTATCGATTGCAGTAGTGATCTGTTGGTTCCCATTCGGGTTCTATTGAGAGGACTGTCCGATTTGTGATGTCACTCAACGTTCTCCTCAATGCATATCCAATTCTGTGTACTGCTCATCAGTCTGCACCGTCCTCCTATATGGCTGTGAGCGAGACCTGGCCATCGAGAGTAGAAGACATGAAAAGCCTGATTAGCTGTCTTTGATCATAGGTGCCTGCGTTCTGTCTCCTGTGTGAAGTGGTTTAATAGGGTGAGCAATATTGCGGTTAAGCGTCGAGTGCTAGGTAGTTGGGAGGGGAAATCAATCGACGAGGCTGTGGAATTACATCGGCTGAGATGGTTAGGACATGTGTTACGTATGCCTAGTCATCGCCTTCCTTGACAATGGACAATGTTAGCTGACATAGGATTGGTCAGGCTGGAAAAGAGCTAGCGGCAGTCAAACCAAAACATGGCCTGATCAGTCAATGAAATCAACAACAGTTAGTATAAGCCACGTAGGAAGGTGTAGACTTCCTAGCTAGTTGGGGTCCTCGGGACGGTAAATACCAATGGCTGGAAACAATCGGTGATATGGCTCAAAATCGTTCTCAATGGCTGGCGCAGATGCATCCACTCCTTATGACTTATGATTTCCAATGAAACTATATCGTTCTTCGTTATTAGTATTCCTTTGTTTCACACCTCTGTCTACTGTCTCTACTATGCTTTTTTTCTACTTTCTCTTCCTTTGTGTGCTACATGAACTGCACATTGGTGCAAAGTTCTAATGTCGAAAACAGACAGACAGATGTCCAATTCAGTCATCTCCGTTTCCCTCTGCGTATTTTCTTGTTGGGTGATAGGTTTTTGGTTAGTTCTGTATCTGTAATAGTTCCTTGTTTATGTTTTCCAACCGACAATGTGATTTTTAATGTCAAATGAAATCCTACAATTTATGACTTCTGTTCTGACTACTCTTCCAGCTAAATTTGTTAGGCAGTCGTAGTCAGCATTATACTGGTTGGTGTGTATCGTATTCTTGTAATGGTTAGTTTAATTACCATGTGCGTCTCTTGGTATTTTTACTTACATTGTCACAACAATCATCCGCCTCCCCCATTCTTTCAATACTCAGTAGGCTTGACCTTTCAGATAGCTTAGGTATTCGAAAATTCTCCACACCACAACCATAAATGGATTTTAATTAACTCACTCTCACAGGTATATCAGTGGTTCGGCGGTAGAATACTCTCCAAAAGCACGTGGTATAGGGTTCAATCCTCGTCAAATGCACTAGCCGGGAGTAGTAAGTCCATCAAAGACAGAAGGTCGGGCTAGCAACTAAACCCCTTAAAAATCACCTCTGCTACTGAAGCTTAAAGCCTTATGTTTCATTAGGAACAAAAAGGAGTAAAAATTTTTTTTAAATAGTGATAAAAGCTCACTCCTACAGGCACTTTCTTTCCTGTGTTCCGTAAATGAAAAATAACTGGAATCTGTATTTGTCTCAAAATGATATTGTTGGCTAATTAAAGCACCGACAAACACGTTATGTGATTAACCTTCATATTTCCCTGTATTAATTAAACAAATAACTTTATTTTAATCGGCAATTTCTTTCCCTGTTTTTCTCATGAAGATCCGACCACAATGTGAAGTCTTTGACTACACTGGGTCACCTATTCGCTTGCCCGATTTCGTTATATGGGAAAAAGTGCCAATGAAACAGGAAGAAACAAACAGATGCCAAGAAGTGGAGAAACCTTCGAGCTACCTAAATACTGTAAATATTCAACTGGGGCTAACGATTTTATCCTACCTGGCGACTGGAATTTCCTCTTCTAACTCAGCCGCTGCAGATTGCCAGTCAAAGTAAGTAATTACCTCAGTTGTCTTCTACGCTAGAATAACTCTGATGGGTGTTTCTACAATTTCAACTAAGTGAATCACAACTGTTGATAGTTTTTTTTTCCTTCACGTTCCCCAGTGGAGCATAGGGCTTCAAGCTACAAGCTTGAAGTTTCTTTAGCAGTGTTTATTTTACTGGATGGGGTTGCTAGCCTCATGTCCAACCTTTCCTCTTCACCAGTATTATTTCTGGCTTAGTGAGGTAAAGGAATGCGCCGGCCGGGGATCGAACCCCGGACCATGTGCATGGCCGGCAAGCGCCCTAACCGCTATGCCCCCGACGCTCCAGGCCAGCCTTTCCTATCTTAAATTCTGTCGTTTGTCAGTTGTCGGAAAACTATCCACCACATACTATGAATAAAGTCATAGAGCAGTATATGTTGAACCAAACCAATGTTCTTCTCTTCTAAATCCAGTTCCACTTTCTGTTTTATTATCAGACAGGGTTGTTTTATGTATTCTTTTTTTAACCCCTAATGCTAATAATACTGAATAGTAGCTGTTCTCCGCTTACATTTTTCATTTGGTTTTCTTTATAGTGATAACCCATGTTTGACCAATGCTAGTCTGTCGCCAATTTATTCACAAGCCCTGGGTGAAATTCCATCAGAATCATCAGTCTATGAGCTGAAACAACCGAGAATTATTTGTCTGACGGGATTGTTTCCTGACTATTATTACAGTCAATTAGAAGATCAAATAAAGTGAGTTTCTTTTGTCATAGTTATAATATTTCCCTGTGTACGTGTGTGTTGTCTTCCCATTCATTTGTTTATCCGTCATTGTTCAATGATTATGTTAACTTTCCTCTTATTTTTTCTGTTTTAATCCTGCAATTATCATACCCTTGTAATTGAAAATGTACTCTCACACATTTTTAACAAGCTTTCAACCTACTAATACAGTAATGGAAGCGGACAAGAGACTTGGGTAACGAACTTTTTTTATTAAGGAAAATTACACCATATTTATACATTTTAGCCACATTTTTGGTCAGAGGATAATAGATTGTTCTGATTGGGGGGGGGGTTGATTTTCTAAAGATTGAGGTTGTCTTGATTGGTTATTGAGATTATTTTCTATAGTTTGGTTTGTAAGGATTATACTTGTTTTTACGAGTTGATCACGGATTGATATCAGTTAGAGAACCATTGAAAACCAGCACTGGAGTACTGGACGGCTGTTTCATCTTAGTTTGAGATATATTTCTTGACCATATTTGAAGAATAGACACTTCTAATTCTTACAGAATATATATATATACCACCATAACTTCGGCTACGCATAAGTGGAGAAAACTCCGACTTTTACAGTGGCTTTAATGGATGAATTGCTTGTGGTTGAATAACCTGCCTCAAGAAGATGTTCACAAATGGCAGATTTTGTCATCCTATGTTCGCCTTTCACCAATCAAACTGAATGAATGACTGGTTTCGATATAGAACTTTAGACTGAAGTGCAGTAATCTAACTTGCCACACACCATATAGCATCCAAGAGAAGACAAAAGAGAAAAAAGGAGATTCGAAAGAACGATTATAATCAAAAATGTGAGGGAGAAAGAATATTAATATGGAAAAACATGAGGGAATTTTTTTGTGGATATGAGAAATAACAGAGAGTGAATGCATCTGCGCCAACATTAACAGTGGCGATGTTTAGCCATATCACTGTATCCATATATCGGCGCTTAAAATCCCAATGACCACAACCAGACAATCTTCACCTCCCTGCGTGAGTCAAACTAACTGTCCAAGATTTTATGGAGTAGTGTCATGTTTTCGTTTCACCACCACTGGCTGTCTTCCAACCTGACCTCAACCAGACAGTTGACATTGCCCGTCGAGAAAAGACGATGGCTGGGCATACTTAACCATCTCAATTGGGGTAGCTCCACAACCTCATTGATAGACTTTCCTAACACTGGATGCCCAACCTATTATACTACCTAACACGGGAGATAGAACGCAGACACCTATGGTCAAAGACAGCTAGCTGGCCGGCGTTTTCATTTGTTCTACTTTCAATGGCGATTTGTCACAGTCATAAAGGAAGACGGAGCGGTCAGCGTTCAGCTACGCGTTTGCGGAGAACACACTTGTAACGTCCAATGTAGTTAGCTCTACAGGAGCATGTGAAAGAGTGAATGCACATAAGCTTGAACATAAGCATTAGTTTGTCCTTGACCCTGTTGTCAAATCATACTGCCTCTGGAGAATGCTAAGTGTAGATCATAGGCATAAAAAGAGTGTTTGGTACACTTGGAAGGACGACTTTTAATCGCCTCAGTAAAAGTGTCACCTTTTAATGCCTAACCTATAAGTAGTGTCTTCTTTGACACGTGTTCTTTCAATAAAGCATTACAAAGGTTATTCAGCTTTTTACTGACAGTATCTATAGACCACATTTTTTGAATTCTTGAGCATAGAGAATGGACAGGATATCTCTTTCAACCTGCAGGTACCCAACTGTTGAAGTTAGAGTATTATTATTGTTTCTTTAGGTTCCTAGAGAAACAAAGGGCTTCAGCCTCACGTCTCCATTGCGTTCGGTTCTCTGCTAGAGTTTTCACCTGGCTACACGTCTGCCCACATGCTTTCGTATCCTCTTCGCATGACCTCCTCCTTGTCGCCCTCGCACTGACGACCAACTCACCTCTTCCCATTCGGGTTCCACTCAAGAGCCTGGCGTGTGATGTCACTTGGTGGTTTTCTCAGAGTGTGGCCAATACACCTCCATTTCTTCCTGCATATTTGTTACACAATTGGTTCCTGCTGGGTTGGTTCGCTGATCGCCAGCGATCCCTGTTGCTGATCTTTTCTGACCGGCCATCTACTCTTGAGTATTGAGCAAAGGCAGCTGTTGATAGGGGTCTGTAGTCTTGTTCAAAGTGTCTTTCTTGACGCGCCAAGTCTCTGATCCGTATAGTAGCACTGACTTCACATTGGAGTTGAACATTCGCATCTTTTTTTCCATACAAAGTGCTGTTGATCTCCACACAGACTTGAGCGTATTAAAAGCTTGTCTTGCGTTCCCAATCCCCACTTTGATATCCTCATCAGTTCCGCCTGTAGTTGAAACGATGCTTCCCATGCTGATTGTTGTCTGCTGTTACTGTTGGCCAGGAATCTTCATGACCTCTGAAGTTAGTGTGCTGCCCCGCATATATGTCATTGGTTCATGTGGAAATTCACTAACACTGAAAGAGACTGCTCAAACTCTGTGTGTGTGTGTGTCGGTGACTGTGTTAAAATGCTTACCAACGACGTACGTAGTCCGCCATTCGATCCTCGACCGACGCAATCGTAAACTTCGCTTATCCCGTAGTAAGTCTGATATAGAGGCAATGTTTGGCGTGAGACTAGCAGCTCCGTCCGGTGAAAGAAACACTGCCGCTACTGAACACTTTAAAACTCAAGTGTAAAGTTCTACGTTCCACTTGGACGAAGACAGTTTTGTTTTAACTGTGGGTTTTTTATTATGTTAATTGTTTTTTCTTCTTGTCAAAGATCTATGCTAATGAACAATCTACACGTGAATGAACTTGTATACATGTGCAAATGTCCATTGAAATCTGCTGACCCACTACTACTACATGCATTTGAGCAATCCATGAGCAGTAATTCTGGGACTGTATTTGTAACTGGTGGAAAGAATATTTCAGATTCACAAAATCCATCTCTTATCAAGATTCGTTTCTAAGCTATATTTTTTTTGTTTGTTGATAAAGTTGTATATTTGGAGTAAAATATATATATTTCAAAAACTCTTTTCTGTGATGACATATTTCTTTTGTATAAAATTCAGCAAGCATTTAGCTATCAGAAGGGAATTCCATAGTCTCATGGTAATCATAGTTTATTATTCAATAGAAACAGTGATGTGTCTCCTTTTTAGCACAGAATATAATTTTCAGTATTGACTGGTAACTATCGAGGTTCTGTTCTAATAAATGCACTCGTTCGACCTCTTGCATGTCAGAGCATAAATGCATGTATTAGCTATAGAATTACTACAATTACCACCCATGTAGTATATATGATCTAAGGGACCATAGCTGACTTAATGAGCCTATCCCTGTCTCTTGTGAGATGAGACGACTGGCGCAACCACTCGAAAGCCCGCTTCCTCGGCGGACCATTCGCACTGTCAGTACATATATTTTGGTGCTGTGTAGCTAAGCATAGTTGCACGGACCAATGATCGCATTAATCAGTTATGCATTGCATAGATGGGCTCAATACAGCCCATCTCGCATACAAGACTAGCCAAACACTTTATCATAGGTCAGAGTAGCATGCATAGCAACTCTACAGTGACACAGGCCCCTGTATTAGCGAAGCGAGCACCTATCAAATTTAATGAAGTCGTTATCTGCCCCCAACCGATTTAACATTCGAATAGCCTCTATACGTCTACCAAGACTATAGGAAACCATCCACAATCATATAAGCGACTTATTGGAATGGCATAACTCACGCGCATACCGTCCATATAGCTTCTGCTATGGTTACTACAGGATTTATGAGTAGCAAGCAAGGTAGCCTAGCTGAACGATATTAGGCCCGAATCAGCTTTAAAAACGCATAATCACAAGCCGCAATACCACTATTTCGCATCCCTGAGACATTTGGAAGCGATACACCAATTTTTCCGCTTTTTGGACCCTGAGTTATATAAATCACTAGTTGGCAGCTCTCTGATATTTGATAACTTCGCAGGCCACCAGTTTCTCTGTTGTGAATCATAAAAGACTATTCGAAGTTTTATCTCATCTATGTGTGAGTGCTGTCACTGAATTAACAACCAATGTACCCCGATTCCGAAGTCAAATAGTCGATGTATACAAAGAAAAGTGGGAGGTATTTCGATTCACAGGAAATCCTTCGTTACTAACATGTTTGCGCGTAAAGCTTTTATCTACCTTACTTCCAGAATTTTTAGAATACATGGCAAGTAAAGTAGCTTATGCAAATAACAATGGGAGAGTCAGTATTTTTGCATGGATTTTAAGAAGTCTATTTTTATAAAGCGGAGATCTGAAGCAGATAGGCATAATGTAGAAGTCTGGATATGTCATACATATGGCTTCACCTTCCGACAAATTCTGGAACATACCTGTGTTCAATACTTGGCATATTTCTTGACTTGTAGGCGACACTTGCCTCCGTCGCAATGTTTGGCTGTGAAGGGAGTGCCGAGAAAGTATATCACACTAATGAAGGCACCAGTGGTATACATCAGGGATGCTTAGTGTTTACAGTTTTGTTTAACTCTATCATGAATCGACTTTAGTGACTGAGAGATCAACTTGTATTTCTAAGTGAGTATGCTGAGTTTTCTGAACACCTTTAACAGAAATGTTGTTATCTTTGACATGCCTCTACTAAATGCAAGACGGTGATGTAGAACTGGTCTACACCAACTCCTAGCTTGAACATTAGGAGAGAAGTGGTGGTACGTGTTGTGATCACTTCACTGAATTGGGAAGTTGCATTGGGCCTAATGGACCGATCACCACACGGATACAAAGTCTAGTGCGGCATTCACCAATCTACGTCATCCCTGGCGTGTAGTTCTTACATCTGCCTATCAATCAAAGGACGTATTTACTGCTCATCAGTTCTCTCTGTCCTCCTTTACTGTTGATTGTGAGACATGGTCTTTGAAAGTGAAAGACATGAAAAGGCCAGTTAGTTGTCTTTGATCATAGGTGCCTGCGTTCTATCTCCCATGTTAGATGATAGAATAGGGTGGGTAACATTAACATTGGGCCTAGAGGTAAGGAAGGGAAGTTAATAATAATAATTTGCTTTATTCCAAAAACAGTACTTGTGATACAGAATGGGATTCTCAGCATTTTTACTACAGTATTGCATCCATTTAGTTTATTATCAATAAACAGAATTCTACATAGATTAAGGAAATCTAAGTTCATTAATACAACAACACAGTGGCATGTCGGTAGCAAAGGTAGAGCTGAACAGTGTTGGAAAAGTAGGTGCTGTCATATTTACTGGCGTAAGCGAGAGAAAGAAACAAAGCAGCACATAACGGAAAAGAGAGAGAGAGAGAATAGGAAAAGAAAGAAAGAAAATGTCGTACCTATAAATGATATGAGTTGGAAGGACGAGGTCCAGTTGTACTACTGACTATTGAATGAATTATAGATGTCACGCCTAATGCTTTCTTTATCGCACAGAACACGAGCTAGGTAGGGTATGGTTGAGTTTTTGTACTTGCTGGTGCGAGCATATAGTTTTCTATATAGGCTTCTGGTTTCGCCTGATGAGATGCAAGGGGAGAGTTGTGAGTGAAGAGGGTGGTGTGAGTTAGATAAAATGGATCTGGCCCATTTTTCACATGAGTCCATGTGCCTGTCGACCAGAATATTAACAAGCTGGTTAAGTGGCACATTGCTCACAACCTTTAACACCCTACGTATTAAGATATAGTCCTTCTCCAGTAGCCCTGCGAAAACTGAGGGGGAACAAGTGAGAATAATAGGCAGGATGCAAGAGTTAACGAATCGTAAGAGTAAGGCTTGAATTATTCTAGAATGTCTTAACTTCTTGATGTAGAAGGTAAGACGGAATATTTTCTTAGAAATCATCAAGATATGAGACGACCAGGAAAGATCAGCAGATAGAATGACGCCAAGATATTTAATTTCCGACTTGGTCTCTATTTCAGTGCCATCTATGTTGCACACCTCGTCAGTGCTAACCACTTTGTTTAGGTCAGATTTATGGCTGAAAGTGAAATTGACTGTTTGACATTTAGAGGGATTTAAGGTAAGACCGTTTTCCTTGGATCACTGGCTGATTTCTGATAAAACGCAATTTAGTTAGGGGCAGTAACTATGACACTTGACAGGCAAAGATGCAGTCAGATCGTCAGCATATTTAACAAAATTCATGTCATTCGAAGATGGTAAGTCATGTAGAAAGAAAGAGAAGATAAGTGAGGAGAGTACATCACCTTGGGGGACACCGGCTTCAGTGAGTACAGCAGAGGAGGATTTACCTTTATATATGGTGTACTGCTTTCTGTTAGAGAAGTAGGAATGCAGCCAGTTAGTGACCCAGGACTCTTGTTGTGAAGTTGCATTGACTGATATGGCTAGGACAAGTGATGCGGATACCAATTCAACACCTCCCTTGTCAGTCAAACAGTGTTAACTAACATAGGCTTAGGTTGGGAAATAGTTAGTGGTAGTCAAACAAAACATGGCATCAAACCAATTGGTTTCGGCCACGTGGGGAGATACAGCCTTTCTAGTTAGGTTAGAGTTATGTCTGTGAAGAACCAGTAGCTTGAGACTATTGGTGATATGGCTGAAAAATCGTTCTCAGTTGCGCAGAGGTATTCACTCTTTATTTTTTCCCGTGTAACTGTTCTTTTTGCCTCACACTTCTGCTTATTATAGTTGCTTTGAATTTCTCTCTTTCCCTGACCTCTGTGTGCTGTATGGAGTGTTGCAAATCAAGCTTCTGCGTTTCTAAAGCTTAGTCAGTCATATGCCATAGAAGTTTAAATTATTTAAGGCGTAAAATTTAATTAAATCTACTACCTTTGTGCAAACGTCAGCTGATTTGTCCTAGTAAATTGAGTAGCTGAGGGTGTTTTAGTTTTCTTCTAAATCCTTAAGCGAGTCATGACTGAACAGTGGATATTGTTGTCTAAGCTACTAATTGAGATATGATTATCCAGACCAATCGTCCATGTATCCCCGAAAACTGACGTGAACCTACTTCATATTTAGTTTGACTATTACTAGCCTATTCTACTTTGTATTATATTACTTATAGGTACTACTTTTGACCACTGTAATATTAGTTGTCCATAAGCGACTTTCATAGCTTTACAATGTCTTCGCAAAAACTAGGGTTGATGAAGAGAGCTTATGATAATTAGATAGGGTATTTATTTATTATTATTTTATTCCTTCGTGTTCCGAGTGGGACATAGGGTTTCAAGCATGCGCTTCGAAGTATCAGTAGCAATGATGTTAACTTTTACAGAGTAGAGCCGTTAATCTCACGTCCAATCCTCCCTCTGTACCGGACTTACTACCAGCTAATTGAGGTTTAAGAGTTCGTTGAAAGGAGATTGAACCCCGGACCTCATGTGTGGCTCACGAGCACCCTACTGCTATACTGCCGATGCTCAGTTGGGTACATAGTTAAATTATTATTATTATATTGATGATTTTTTGTGGAGTCAATGCATGTACAGTCGTAACGGTCAACAGCTTGGCTGATATATACACTATTATACGAACTGATGTTGTAGGAGCATAATTACTGCTATCATCGAAAGGCAGAATCCAATCAGCCTGGTGAAGATTCCTGTAAACACTATGACAGCTAGTTTATGAATACTCTACCAGGAAACTATTGTACACAAATACAGTTTTATTTGTAACTTAGGTTCCCATCCCCCTCCAGCCATCTAACCGCTTACCATCGATTTTTGTCCTCAGCTAGCATTAGAACATTTGTTGAACTTCATATAATTGTTGACGGGTCTATTCATCACATGCTGAGAGCATCTTTTTTTTCAAACTGTAAAAGCAAGTTACAATCTCTCACCTACAATTACCCCTTATATAGTCTTAAACTATGGCTATCATCATGAGTGTAACGAAAATAGTTGAGAGGACTTCCATGAATATGTCTGTGCTCTGGCTTCGAACTACTCACCAGACCTCCATATTGACTTCGTAGACTTTAATGTCTCAGCTGTTTTTGAGGTATCTTTCTTCAAATAGTGTAAAGTCACAAGGAAACCAGAATTCAGAACACGTAAGAAGCCGATAGAAATCCATTTATTCCAATAGTAATGTAAACATTCAATCTCAAGATCGAATATAATAATGAACACCACAGTTTATTTTGTACTGGAATGACCTTAGGACAGATATAGAAGGCTCATATAGTTTTTGCTGACTTATACCATCTCTGGCTTAGTAGATGTGATATCAAAGTACGTGTATATTGTTCAGCAGTTCGCTCCAACCTCCTTTATGGCGGACTGTGACTAAAACATCACCATTGAAAATGGAACACATGAAAACGAAGACATCTAGCTGGCTGTCTTCGATCATATGTGTCTGCGTTCCATCTACATCTAGTGTTAGGTGGCATAATAATAAGGGCTATGGTCAGTTGGTGAGGCATTGGTTGAGTGCTAGGTAATGGATGAGGGAAAATAAATCTATTGACGAGGTTGTGAAGCAGTTAAATTGATTGAGTAAGTTGTCTAGGACATGTGTTACACATGTCTAGGCATCGATTGCCTTCCTTGACTGACGGGCAATGTTAACTCAGCTGAAATAGGATGGATGGATCAGCTTGAAAAAGAGCTAGCTAGCACGTGGTGGTTAGACGAAAACATGGCGTCATCAGTCAATAAATTGCATAACAACAGTTAGTTTAAGCCAGCCAGTGGCCACGTAGGGAGGTATAGACGGGCTGCCTGACTGGTAGATGTCCTCAGGACGGTAAGAACCAATGACGTCTGGAGACAATTGGAGGTGATATGGCTGGTTGAAAATCCTCGTTGTCAACGTCCCATATCCACAAAAAACCTTCATGTTTTTCCATATTACTATTCTTTCGCCCTCACATTTCTGATTATTTTCGTTCTTTCAAATCTCTTTTTTCTCTGCTGTCTTCTATCGTATGCTACATGGGGTGTGTCAAGTTGAACTACTGCACTTCAGTGCAAAGTTCTATGTCGAAACTCAATCAGTACTGAAATGGGTTTCACAAGTATGTGTTCACCATTAGTGCACCAGACATGTCGTACTCAAATATGTTGGAGGCTTTTAAACTGAGTTCGCAACGTGGAACGCTGTACAGATTGCATCATTTCTAGCTGTCAGACCTCTAAAAAGTGCATGAAAGGGAGGTGAAAGAGTGTGCATGGGAGTAAGAATTAGTGCTTGTAGAATGACCAGGATTTTCGCAAGATGGTATCGTATATATATATATATATATATATATATATATATATATATATATATATATTGAGAACTGTTTTTCTCCCTGTCACTGATAACTTCCAGCCATTAATTTTCAGTAAATTGAGTATTCAGCTATAAAGTCAACACCTGCCTATTTGGGCGCAGACTGATGATCAGTGACTTCATGGTAAGGTGATATTTCTTCGTCTGCCCATCCCTAGCTCTTTCCTAATCCAATCCTATATTAGTTAACGTTGTTCCTCGTACAAAGAGATAAATCGGAATATTTGTATTACTAGCACTAGCAGCGCTCCTATAAGAACATTATAAACTTCGGAAAGTGGAAATAAATCTTCATCAAGGAATAATATGCTTATTCAATGCACTATTTATAATAATGATAACATTTACATAGTGCAATAATAACATTCGTATCCGTATGTTATTCTCAGTTAACACTTCACAGACAACCCATTATGTTTATATATACTTATATATTTATATGTATATATATAGATATCTTATAATAAATATGTATGGAATCACACTTTCATCAAGTGAAAAGAAAATCAATGTCAAAATTTTGAAGTATGAAGTATGTTCAATCAGTTATCTTCTTCCACACAAAATTTGTAATATTTACGCTAACTACTGTCTTTATTATCAGTAGTAAGAGAGAAAAAAGAAAATAATATTTTATTCACTTATCCATCTATGGATAGCTTCTAATGTTGTGGTATATCAACATAATTGTTGATCATATTTTAATAATCTGTTTGATGATGATTGACTTGATGCGGTCAAATTGAAATCTGTTTCATTTAATCCCACTGAAGAATCTTCACTAGTTGATGAACCTGAGGATAATGATGCGTATTCACCTTGTAGTTTTACATTTTCGAATGAGGATTTAATATTCATATGATTTGTATTTGCTACAGAGTCATTACAATTTGAATACCATTCAGTCATTTGACTTTCAATATTCTCCAGACTTCTTCCTTCATTCCCTGTTTGTGTTAAACATTCAGTATTAACTGGGTTACAGTGATTCCACAACAGCTCATAGTTAACATAATCATCGTTATTATTACTATTATTATTATTGTTATTGTTATTATACTGTTGCCTAGTAGCCATACTTGCTTGCCATGCAAAGGCAGCGGCTGCCATTTTCATTGATTCAAGATGTAGGTATTTGTGCGGTGATTGATCCGGCTGTGCATTATACAGGGCATTCTGTAAAACATTGTAAATAAAAATATGTTATCAAGTATTCGTTTTGTAGAGATTTTGTTTGATTAGTTGGAGGATTTCATCATGAGCTGACATCGGTCAGAGAACCACTGAAAAACCGACAGGAAGTACTGGATGTCCGTTTCGTCCTAGTTTGGGACTCTTCACAGTACGCACCCACTGCATGGGGTTCGAACCCAGGACCTTCTGGTTACAAGGCAAGCTCGTAGACCCGGTGGGTGCGTACTGATGAAGAGTCCCAAACTAGGGTGAAAAAGCTGTCCAGTACTCCCAGGTTTTCCAATGGTCCTCTAACTAATGTCAGCTCATGATCCTCCAAACAGAAATATATCAGCTTTGCTTCAAACTCACTAAAATATAAATGAAATTTTATAAATATAACCCTCCTACCACTGGAATATTTGCATTCCCCATAACCTTTGATTTTGAAACATATTTGACAATATACTAAAACAGTGAGTTAATCGTAGGATTTGTACAACCTTATAATTTTCCATCACACCAAGCCATAAAGTTACCTGTTTCTACAAATCAGTCATCTACGTTTGGCGAATTTATGCATATCTTCAGCTGTACAACAGCCTGAAGTTTACCTTGAAAGCTGAAAACACCTAATGTGTGACAGCATATCCTCAGTACTACCCACAGTGTTTATAGGGATTTCACAAAATTAGAAACGATTGTATATATGGAGCAGAAGACTGTTGAAGTGATGAGTTCCACTTGGTCAATACGTGTATCCATTAGCTACTAGGTGACAGTTCTTCGACTATCTTTATTTTGTAAACAGCCAATTTCAAAGTATTGTAGAGTACAAAATACTACAACAGATGTAGCAATCAGTTCAGTCGTATTTGTAAAAGTTTATAAAGGTTATCAAATACAAAAATCTCTGTTATATAGAATCTATAAACAATACCTGAGGTAGCATTGATATAAGAATAAAACTTGGGCACTGTGGTAGAGTGTAATTCCATTATGGGTATATGATTATGAGCAATATGATATGATTATGAGCAATAGTTTGTGCTCGAAACGTCATCAGTAAATATTACTGTATAACACTGTGAGACTCTATCAAAATAAAAATTTACCCATAATGGAATACCTGAGGTAGTTCTACAGGTAAACTTGATGAGTTTATGGTGCTTAGTTTCACACTAAACATATTTATGCAACTGTTTGTAGAGCTTCTTGACAGTGAGTCAGTTATTGAAATGGTTAGGGAAACTAATACAACTGTGTGTAAAGGTTCATGTAAATGCTTCTCTGATATCAAATAACATTTGAAACAGTAATACGAATGAAATCAAATTGACATCAGTAATCGAAAGTTAACTAGGACCATAGAAACGAGCCCCTAAAGGACATTGGAACTAAGTCGGACAGGGGAGTGATTAGTCTAAAATATTGTTGTTATTACTATTATTGTTGTTGTTCCCTTGGGTTATGAGAAGAACATAAGGCTTTAACAACACATCTCCACTTGGTCCTGTTCTCTACGGTCCTCTTCAACTCCACAATTGCCCACAAACTTTCATCTCCTCCTCTATGTTACCCCCGTATCCACGCCCAACTCATCGTTTCGCCTTCGAGTTGCACTCGAACGATGACCGGAAATGCGCTCGACGTCGTTCGACGGTCTCCTCAGACTGTGCCCTATCTATCTCCACTTTCTCTTGCATATGTATCGGGCAATACGTTCTTGGTTGGTCTGTCCCCATAGTTTCTTCTTGCTGATTCTTTCTGTCCATTTGATCTTCAATACAGGGCGAATTAGAGTCTCTGACCCATATAGAAGAACTGAGTGACTTAACACTTGTGTTGAAAAATCCGAATTCGGTTCTTTATACTGCAGGGTGTGGAAGATTTATAAACTAATTCAAAGTGATAAAGGCCTGGCTTGCCCCTCCGATTCTGGCTGGCTTTGACATCTCCAGCTTATACATGAGGTGAATTCAGTCAAACGGTAACTAAACAATACCTTTAAGGCCTTATTATTATTATTATTATTATTATTATTATTATTATTATTATTATTAAACCTCTGGATATAAAAGTTTCTGAATACTACATGAAATAATAAAGAATCTCTGAATATTTGATGATATTTGATAGTTGGAGGCAATCGGCAGGAAGCCTTGGACCTAGGTTTCGTGCTAGTTAGCACTCATCAGCAGGACGTATCTGCAACCTTGAAGGAACTCATGTCCCTTCTGAGACTCGAACCTGCGACACCCCATGAGTACCACAGTCAGAGACGTTACCACTAAGCTATTCGGGCTCGTGGCTGACCTCCTGTAGGACTGTAGTGGGTATTTGGATTGGACACTAGTAACTAGTGTGACGTGTCTAATCCTTTCTTTGGTACAGACTGGTGCTGATGAGTGCCAACTAGCACGAAACCTAGGTCCAAGGCTTCCTGCCAATTGTCTCCAACTATCAAATATCATCAAATCACTGTGCACCGTGATAGTGAGCTACCTAGAATAATGGCCACATTGCAAATACCTGACTGATAGAATTCAGTCTGTACCAAAGAAAGGACTAGACACGTCACACTAGTTACTAGTGTCCAATCAAAATCTCAGAATATACCTATCAAATATTTCATTGCTACAATTAATTTTCTGATTAGCAAGTCACAGTGCTAAAAAGTAACTGTCCCCATAAAAAGGCATACAACTCCTCTCATGCAACTAAACTGTGTGCCTGAAGATATTCTGGTTGACTAAAAAGCGTTCTAGGCACACTCTGAGTGTTGGATTCGTCAGCCGGTGATTGTGGTGAAGAAAAAGAATGAGAATTATTTATCAATGAATTATTTGTTTCAAAATCACTAACTTTTGATTTATTATCCCATAAATTTGTTTTCAAATTTTCCTCATTTACCAAAAATGGCTGTTCAGAGCATTCATTACTCTTAGAGTAGAATGATGACAGATAGGCTGGTATATCTGGATTAGTCAAAGGAGGTAAATTTTCGTTCAGTTGAACTTCACCAGTTAGAATTTCTGGATTTTGATTACTTATGCCACAGGACGTCTTTGCGTTCATCTCAGCCATCCCTGATTTCAATAGATGCTTCCATTGTTCGCTATTCCGATGACAATTCACAGAGGAGAGATCAACTGTTTCGTTTTGATGCAATTCTAGAGGAGGCTGGTAGGCATGACATGAATTACCATAATTTAAATCTGTTCTTTGTTGGTGTAAATCAGTTCTTGCTGCGGTACTTTCGTCAACCTTTTTAAAGGAAAGCAAAACAATTCTGGATGATAAAATATGAAAGGAGAGAAGAAACTTAACTGGAATTCTATTTAATCTGTGTTTTTTTAAATAGCTAACATTAAATGCCGAAAAATCTAGAAGAGTCCAAGACTGGAGCCTTGAAGTTTCACTAAACATGATGTTGTTTTCACAGTGTGGGGTTGCTAGCCTCACGCCTAACCTTCCTTTTTTCCATACTTAATTCAAATAAGGCATAGGAATGCATCAGCGGGAAGTAGGGCCTTGAACTGTGTATGTGATTGGAGAGAATCCTACCACCGTACAACCGATGCATATAGATACGTATGTACTGCTGCTTCACCAAGCATTAGAAGGACTCATCAGTAGGACAAGTTGTTCTTGAAACTGCCGGCCGCATCAATGTTTAGTCTCTGTGTCTCTCTACATATAATGTTGGAGCTACGGATAAGGAATTTATCAAACCTTTGAGTTTATGATTATTAAGCCCTGATGTTCCTCTACGTCTTTTTCTAAATAAAACTGTGTCATTTAAAAAAAGAAGTTACCAAAAGTTACTGTATTCGTCAAGATGTATCACGGATTCACGTCAGTTAGAAAACCGTTGGAAACCAGGGAGTAATGGACAGCTGTTCCGTCCCAGTTTGGGACTCTTCATTAGTACTCACTCACCAGGGTTCCAACCCACTAAGTACCTTCTAGGTCTGGCTTGAGGACAGATACTTGCCTCTGATGACACTGGCTGGTGGTCACACTAAATTCACGAATTGGTAGAAGTTAGAATTCATGCACTGGTCATTGTATCGGGTCCCAGTGGCTGAATGGTCAACAACCTAACCTTGCAACCGGAATACCCTGGGTTCGAGCCCCACTGGACGTGTGTACTGATGAAGAGTCCCTTAACTAGAATGAAACAGCTGTGTCAGTAACCCCTGGTTTCCAATGTTCCCTTAATTAACATCAAGCCATTATCAAATTTTGACGACAGAACAACTAGATTTTCCACTCAACGGTGCCCTCCATTTATCTGAGTCATTCTGTGTTCCCATCTTTCTACAATATGTGTATCGCTCTGAATGTTAGTTTAAGCAAACGAAAAAAGTTCCTACATTTTGATCATGACTGTGTATTTGATTAATGGAGTTTATATATATATATATATATATATATATATATATATATATATATAATATTATTCTAACCATTTTGATCTATCCATCTGTAAATTTAGGCTTAGTGTGAAAGTCATTTCTCCGATTTACCTGTCCTATATTCAGGCCGACTAATCTGTGTAGCTTTTTACCATGGTGGACAGTTAGTTGAAAGTTGTTTTAAGCGTTTGGATAACTTTTTGGTTCCTTGAACAAGGTTAACCACCTTGCACTGTCGTCTATACTAAAGCACAAACGCACACACACACACACGCAACACAGGTATTATAGGCATGTAAGTGTACACATATACTGGACACTAGAATTCAGGGCTAATATTTCACAAAAGAAGTTCTGGGAAATGCATAGACTAATTCTCTCCCCTTTTTTTTCAGTATTACACTACAATCACAAAATTTTCTTTGAGGTGTACATTGGTGTGTGTGTGTGTGTGCGTGCGTGTAAGCGGTAATAAGTGCATACAAATGATTATTATTATTGTTCTACAATGTGAATAAGATTATACTGCATAAATGTATCATTCTATAACAGAAGAAAACTGCTAATATATATCAGATGTCATTTAGAACCCTAGATTTATATTAGGCATATTTACTTAATAGCATATATAAATGTCTACTCATATCAGTAGTAGCGTTTCGTGTGTCACTCTCTCTAGGCATTGTGTGCTACTAATTCTTTTTTTCTTTTTTTGTGTGCTTAACTTGAGCCATCAAAAGACAAAATATAAAACAGATCATGTCAAAGTATATTTGTCTAAAAAAGTTAAACCAAGGGGTGAGGGAGCGTGGGGGTGTTAGTGGTGTTTGGAATCACCTATTAGGCAAAAGCAATTAAAATACTACCTAAAACGATGGGATTTGGATTTGTTTTCTTCACTTGATGAACTAGGCAGGAGAAATTGAATACATACCAAAGTGTCCGAAGCAGAACAGCGCCTAGTCTCTAGAAGTTTACAGAGGAAATAAACAAAGAATGAAAATATTCACAGTGGTCATCGGATTGGAAAATCCCGAGACGCTGGCGTTCTCAGTTCACCGTGTGGGGGGGCGGGAGGGGCACAGGGAACAAGTGCCACCTACATTTAAGAAATGGAATCGCTTTGAGAGACTTTCCTCCAAGAGTTAAAATATCTTCCTTTTGGTTAAGCAGTCGACAGTATCACAATATCAGAAGTGGACTGATAATCTTCGAGTCTGCAAGTAGTGACTACTGCAGCACGGTAATACTGGTAAAACAGGATTCCACTCTCTATCTTATTTGACAGAAAGAAAGATACTCACATGAGTTTGTTTTTGCCAGTAGTATATTGCAGATGCTTCAACTCTAGGGGTTCCCGAGTTGAAGAGGACAACTGCACTACTTAATTAAAGGCAATACTAACACTTATCTTATTGGTTTATCTAAAGTGTTGTATGATAAAAATATCTTTCTTACATGTCTAGTTTGAGTGAAATTCTACACTCTATCAAAACTCTGTAGACATATACTAACAGGTAGAATTGTACAATACGGAGCAGCCACCTTATTGATTACGTAATGCTTAGATATTAATTAAACTTAACCAGTAGAAATGTTAAGTTGTGAATACGCATATACAAATATATTCACTAGTGACTATTAGTAATGAATAAGCTTTCCATTTTTAAGACCAATTTAACCGCCTTCAAGTCAAGGTTGATAAATGAGTTGTAATCTACTTGTTGTGTCATAGTTAACGGCCAAATTGTCCTAGCAACCAACATTGCTAGATAGATGGATAGATAGATAGGTAGACTATATGCATACTGAAAAAGACTAAAAGTTAATAATGCTTTGACTGAATACCGTATACATCGGCACGTGTTTAACAACGGAGTGAGTGAGTGAGTTGTCTGTCGAAAATGTCATAATTTTTAACCTTTTTCGGTGTATTGATTGATTTTATCACAGAAACAAATGGACTGACAATCCGCGCAATTTGAATTTTTGTCGTATATATATATATATATATATATATATATATATATGAGTGAGTAAATTAGTGAATCACCTATCATTTGTTGACGACCTCCTTAAAACGTGGGTTACCGAATACTTCCATCAATATATACATTGCATAGAGTTTCTCTTATTCAGTTTGTTTAAGTTTGGTAAAAAATGACCTCTGTTAGTGTTGTTTACTCTGGCTAGTATTTAAAACATTTACAACCTCTTTATTGGCAAATTTCTATGAAACATGAGAAACAGCATTATCCAACTCGACGGATGACAGATCATCCCAATACACGAGATGACCGTTCCTCAATGGTGTCCTTGCTTCACAAAATGTACTCCTGAACTGTTAACATAATTGGCATTCAACAAAACGTCGTTGTGTATTACTCGAAGGAGAGAAAAGAATAGATATCATAATAATGGCTTGATTTGCGCTTCGGGTAGGATAGACAGAACTGTGTCACACGATCTACTGTCAGTCAGTCAGTCAAGTCTTTTATTTGAAGATCGTGGACGAAAAGAAAATATTATGCAATAAATTCCGCTGAAAATTCCGTACATTACATAAATATTATTTCAGAGCAAAGCTATTATTTTCAAGAGTTGACTTGTAAGGACTTGATTTGTTTTGTTGAGTTAGACCACGGATTGATATCAGTTACAGAACTATTGAAAACCAGAAGTGGAGTACTGGACAGCTGTTTCATTCTAGTTTGGGACTCAATGGCAATACGCACGCACTGGGTTTCGAACCCAGAACCTTCTGGTTACACGACAAGCCTGCATATCATTCAGACACTGGAACCCGACTCAATGGCCCATGAGTTCTCGCTTCTACCAATTCGTGATTTTTAGCGCCAACACCATCTAATGTCATCGGCGGGAACTCCATGCTACTCCCGGCTTCTCAATAGGACTCCAGGAAACTCCATCCTTTAGCAAGTCACTAGCGAGCATCAGTGGCTGAATGGTATACGGCCTTGCCTAGTAACCGGAAGGTTCTAGGTTCGAAACCCGCTAGGGTGCGTGCTCCCGATGAGTCCCAAACAAGGATAAAATAGCTATCCAGTACTCCCTGGTTTTCAATAGTTCTTTAACCAACATCACTCTGTGGTCTAACTCAAAAAGCTATTATTTATTATTACTAGAAAGCACATAAAGATCACATCTCAGTTATGCCTTTAATCCAGACATGACAATTTGTATAAGAGTGCCTTCTGACCTTCTCCAATTCAGTAACTTTAATAAGTCTGGCCACTGAAAGTATCAGCTATGCCTATTACATCTCTCACTAAACAGTGACTATGCTGAAATATGTGTGTATACATTTACAACAGACTACCTACTGCCTAAGTTACTGGCTTTCACTTTCACACTTAATTGAGTTATGAGTCATGAACGCAGTAAACTTACCGAACCGCTAAACCACTTCTCTCCATGATATTTTGACTGTCTACATCATTTTATTTGGCAACATTTGTTGACACGTGAAAAAAGTACAATATTCACTGCACAAGACGTGATGGCTCTCATGGTCCAAGTGGGTACTGGTTTCGAGCCTCAATAGGAACACTATCGTACATTCAGCTGCGACAAGTTCCAAATAGGAGGGTGAAATGCGCATCCTGGATTCTACACGTCTAATCACCATTCACCAATTTAATACAAGATTTACTTTGTGAAAGTAAAAATTAATAATATTTTTAATAACGCTCATAAGTAAAAAAAAATCATCCAATAACTAAATACACAACAAACAAACCTCATTCCCCTGAAAAGATTCATTTGACCTCTGAAGCACATCACAAGGTTTAGATGTAACAGTATTCGTATCCACCAGTGTATAATAACTCGTATCACTTTGACTGTATCCATCTTTATATTTCATTGGTAGATTTAAATGTTCATGGAACTGCGGTTGTTGTTGTTGTGGTGGTGGTGGTGGTTGTGCTTGTGCTTGTGCTTGTGGCTGGATAGTACCATCGGATGTTTTCAGTCTAAACGATGACTTGTTAAGTGAATCTGACTGGGCTACAACCTGACGTTGTAAGCATAAGAGTGGATGGTAGGCGGTATCTGAAGTAGTCGCAGTTGTTGTAGCAGTCATCGTGGCATTAACAGTATTGGTTGCAGTAGTACTACTAGTAGCAGTAGTAGTAGTATTCAGCGTCTGGTACATGTTAGACTTCTGTTGTGTTTCAAAAGTTGTTAATCTCCCATGAGATTTACTTCTTTCCACAGTGTCACCATGAAAATCACCAATCCCTTCATCGTTTTCATCCTCTTCAACTTCATCAACATCGACATTATTTTCTTTATCCATCTTACTGATGTCACTAGAATACTTGACCGTTTTTTCATCCCAATTCTTTCTTCCCATGGACTTTATTAAATTCTCCTCCATAATACTACTAGCACGTTTTTTCATGCTACAATAACGTTCTGTTGATGTTAAATCAGTTTTAAATCGACGTTTCCGTCTTAAATAGGAACCATGATCAAACATGCCATGTGCTTCTGGATGTAAAGTCCAAAATGACCCTTTGCCAGGTTTTTTATCATCTCTGGGTATTTTAACAAAACAATCGTTTAAACTGAGATTGTGTCGTATTGAATTCTGCCAACCCTGTTTATTGTCTCGATAATAAGGATAGCTGTAGGGGAGAGAGAAAAAAGTAATTATAAGCAGCATTATTATGGGTGGGATTTAGGTGTTTTTCCAACAACAACAAAAAAACTCTTATTTTAGAAATCATTAAAAGTTAAACAGTACTGAATAACCATTTAATTTTACTTGGGGAATATTATCCCACTGGAGTTCGAACCCAAGACCTTCCGGTTACAAGGCAAGACCGTATACCATTCAGCCACTGGGACCCGATTCAATGGATCAGTGGGTGCGTACTGCCAATGATTCCCACAACTAGGATGAAACAGCTGTCCAGTACTCCCTGACTTTCGTTGGTTCTCTAACTGATATCAATCCGTGATCAACTCGTAAAAACATAACTAACCCTTACAAACCAAACTATAGAGAATATTATCCCTCCAAGTTAGTTAAAGTTAACATTCTGTGAAGTTATAGAGAGTCAGGGTGTTTCCGTGGTAGAATGCTTGCCAGCTATACATATGTGGCCAACATACTCTCAATTCTCGCCTAGTTTACTAGCCGATGGTGAGCCCCAGAATAAAGGTAAGGTTAACAACCCCACCCCATGAAAAACAACACTGCCACTGGGACTCCAAAACGCTTGCAGTCTTATGTTCCACGCGGAACGGAAAGGAAAGAAAACATCCATATGAAAATATTATTCAAGTCTTTAAACAGCTTCAAGATGTTAGGCGTTTTACTGACAGATATTTCATGTGATTTGGGTCGACCTGCATCCAACTATTCTTATTTCACTAACCAGAACCCAACTACTTGCTTACACATGGGACTTATAATTAATAAGCCTATTTTGCAGTACACGCCCACTGAGACTCGAACCCAGGTCCTTCCGTTTTTTACAATGTCAACCCGTACACCATTCACTGAGCCACTGGAACCCATAAGGTCCTGATTGGGTGTCTACGGTTGAAGAGTCAAAGAGTAGGACGAAACAGTTACCCAGCACTCTTTGACTTTCCAGTGGTTCTCTAACCGATGTCAGCTCGTGAGCGAATCTGTTACTTGTCGAATCCCTACAAACCGCCACTTGATAAGAACCTTTTTAGTTAGGAATAATGTTTAGCATTCTTATAGAAGAGATCAATTGGCTATAACTGACAAAGAAAAGCCAAAGTTGACGACATGAATTACGATCTGCAAGTTTTTACTATCATTCCAAGGTATAACACGTGATATTATTGTAATGCCCAGTAAATCCCCATTCAGTATGTCACGTATGATCCATTAAAAATAAAGTTCTGTTCTAATTCCGTCTAATTTTCTTTTGAACTTTTATATAGTTTAAACTTGTCTCAGTCTTCCTTTCATATTGATTTGTCCGACAAATACAATAAGTACATATCAGGCAAGTCCCTTGTCAATGTAAAGACAGTGACATCGTTATATTCATTTACTGATAGCTAAAGCTAAGTGGAATAATTAATGCATAACAGGTGCGATTCCCCATTGGATGAATTCTCTCCCCATGGCTGAAAGGTCAACTAACCCGCCTCATAACTTGAAAGCCAAAGGCACCATCTCCCTTGGAAGCATAGGTGTGAATTGCTGAAGAGTTTCAATGGAGGACGAAACTAATTTCCGGCACTACCTGCTTTCCAATGGTTCTCTAGATGATGCTACACTTGTGATATAACTTGAGATCAATGACAAGACCTTACAAGTCAACATTTGGAAATGGTTATTTTCACTTCATCCCAGTAATGCTTAACAGTTTCCGAAAAATGAGAATTAAAAAGGGAAACCGATAGAGAACAGCAGGTTGGTTAAAACTTGAATAAGGTTTTTCGAATATCAAGGTTGACTTAAACCCCTTATGAATCTATCAGGTGGTTTGTAGTAAGTATAACACAGTCATAAAAGTCACTTGTTTTCTCCAGTGTTACCTACAGGACATTGTGTTTTTGCCATTTATTGGAGATTCATGTATTTGCAGACAATGATTGCTCAAAATAAAATATGAATACAAAAGGAAATGATAACAAAAAAGTATGTGCACTCAACAATAGTGTAAGATTTGGCCACGAAAATATTCTTTCGAATGGTATCATATGTTCCACTTAAATATTAGGTTCTAAGTGAAGAGTAGGGCTTTAACAGCACATCTCGATTTCGTGCTGTGTTTTGCACTCCTCTTTATCCGGCTCCATGAGTTCTCATAGTCTGTAATCTTCTCCATACCACTCTCGGACACCCAATTTGTTGTGTCGAAATCAGATTCCCTTCGAGGGCCTGGCGCGCGCGATGTCACTCGCTGGACTCCTCAACGGGTGCCCAACCTACCTCCATTTTCTTCTGCATACTTGTTCGGCAATATACATTCTTGGTGTATTTGTTGCCGGAGTTCCTGGTTTCTTATTCTTTCTAGCTTACTGGTATTGAGTTCAAAGAGAAGGCAGTTGTTGTTAAAAGTCTGTAGTAACCTGTTGGAAATGATTTCCGTGATGTGCACAGTATCTGAACCATATAGAAGGAATGACCCCGACATCAGTGTCGAACAACCACTTACATGTCTAATTATTCATATTTTCAACATTTTTGTACATCTGACCTCTTCACATGACCGTATGTAAATATTGTAGAGTTATTTAACTAATGAACACATTCCAAGTGCTTCGTTAACCTTCAAAATCAAATGAAAGTGGTTAAAGTTAGGGCCTACAATTTCCTGATGTTATAAATTCTGGGGATTTTTACATACTAAACTCGTCCTTCGTAAAATACACAATTAATTATTATTATTATTGTTCCCTTGGGTTCCTAGTGGAACATAGGTGTTCAACTGCACGTCTCCACTTGCTTCTGTCTTGTGCTGTACTTTTCACTTGCATCCATGTTAGTCGATACTGTTTCAACTCTTCTTCAAACGATCTCCTCCATGTCTCTCTTGGACGTCCCACTCGCCTCCTTTATTTCGGGTTCCACTCGAGCGTTGTCCTGACGCGCGATGTCACCCAGCGGCCTCCTCAGCGAGTGTCCAATCCATCTCCACTTTCTCCTGCATATTTGTTGGGCGATTGGTTCTTGTTTTGTTTGTTCCCATAGTTTCTTATTGGTGATTCTTTCTGGCCACAATTCGAGGAGGCGAAACTTCATCACAGTTAGTTTCCTCTGGACACCGAAAATACCCAAATCACAAGCAGTTTGTTATCTGCTTGGTATCTTGAGTGATAATCAAGGAAGCAAGCATAACTTCGTGGTGTTGTGCACTACTGATTGATTCATATGAGTAGCTGGACATCAGTAAACATCAACTAGCAGTGAATACTAACCATATGAAAGTGGCTTGAAACATCAAAGGGGTGTTTCCTTCGTTCGGGTCTGAACTTATCAGATGTGTACTTGGTTTATCCCAGTTCCGAGAGCTGTTTCCAAGTTGTATCCAGAATTGATGCACAAATTACGACCAGTTTCTTCGCTATTAATCTCTGTCGTAACACTAAAAAAATTATTTTCAATAAATGGATCCGATATTATATAGTTGAATGCAATCAGCAGGAAACCTTCACCAGCCTAGGTCTCGTACTTGTTAACACTCATCAGTCTGCAAGGCTTATCTGCAATCGTGAAGGTACTCATGTCCCTTCTGAGATTCAGACCTACGTCACTCAGTCAATGCTGCAGTCCGAGAGAGACCTTACCACTGAGCTATTCGGGCTCGCGATTGACCTCCTGTAGGACTGTATTGGATACTTTGATTGGGCACTTGCTAGCTAGTAACTAGTGTAATTTGTCTAGTCGTTTGTTTGATGCAGACTGAATTCTACCAGTGGAATTTGCAGATACGTCTTGCTGACTGGTGAGTGTCAACTAGCACAAAACCTAGGTGTAAGCAGGACTTCCTGTCGGTTGCCTCCAGTCATCTAATATTCACAATTCACACTGCAGTTCATCGTGGTGGCGAGCCACCTAAAATAGCAGTCACACTGCAAACTTGACTAATAGAACTCAGTCCACACTAAACAAAGGACTAGATGCATTACACTACTTGCTGACTAGTGTCCAATCAAAATAAATGGGTCTAATGATTAAGTGACAAAGGAATGCTGGCTTTATCGACTATACAAACCTAAAACTTTATTTTCTTAAATTAATTTATATCAGTGTAACAAATGTATCATTGATATCATGATAAAACACTAATTCATCTTTCATGCCCCTATATATGCAATTAATATTAAGAACATTAGCCTATACA